AAAATTATTTCACTGACTAGTAATAAATTTTGATTAACTCTTCTATGATTCAATTTTTAACTTTTTACATGAATAAATCCAGACAGTAAAGACTAAGAAGGTGAATGCCAGAATCATATGGCTATAATCTGAACTGAACCCTCCTACTTACTGCTGTGTGATCCCCGCCAAAGGAGACCTCATTCTTTAACCTTAGTTATCTGCATCAGAAAATCTGGGTCAACAGTGCATTCATGAGGCTGTTCTGAGGAATCAAAGCAGTGCTGTATGAAAAGCTCTTAGCAAAATGAATGGTGTAAGACTCAACAAATGTTATCTATCACTGTTATCCCTTGTTTTGCCAGTTGACCTTTGTGAAGGCAGACTCTCCCAGGTACAGCTGCCTTTTGAAAGGTAATCAGAAATATTCTGAACAGCCCTCTCCCAGACTGTCTTCTTGCCCTTCAGAAAACCTTTCCTGCCTTTATTAGTAGTATTTCTTACATTAACACTTCAGTCTTGATAGTGTGTACTTCAATCTGCATTAATTTCTCCCTCTGGAAAGGGGAAAACATTGATTCATCTGGATAGCTAGGTCAGTTTTAGATAATGGTTGTGGTCTTAAGACTGTTCACGGTTATCTTGTAGCAAAGGATTGGGAATACAGGTGCTTCATTTTATAACTTTCACAAATATTCACAAAAATTACTCACGATTATTTACAAATGTTCACAAATTATTAGAACATTTGTATTTTAACAGGGATTTGTTGGGTAGAGCAGTTATGGGCCCATTTACGAACCAATGTGCTTCATTAAAGTGCTATTAAAGGTTTTTCCCTTCATTATTTATAACAACCTAATGATTATGCAAAATAATCAGAAAAAAAAAAAAGAAAAAAGTCTCATGTCAGGTACTACATAGGCTAGGAATTTTCAACATCCAGAAGTTGATATTTTAGTCTTTATTGTTCCTGGCAAAGCCCTCAGTTACCTTTAACATTAACTGGATATGAAACAATTTTATCAAGCAATCTAAATTATCACCAACAGCGCTAAAGCCAATTTCTTCCCATTATATAAATTATGAAGTCTAAGTAATTCTCTACACTTTAATTTAAATGTCAGTTTTACTGGAGTTTGATGCATACTATTGATGTTTGTCCTCAAATTTTTGAGGCCCCAATTCCTGCAGTGTGTCCTTTGCATAATGAGTAAGCAGTTAAGTGTTTGTCTTTCTGCATATAGGGTTTTTACTGCCAAAGCAAACTAGCTGGAGGAATTCACACAAAGTGACAGGAAGACTGAAAGATAATCAGGTCTCTTGTATAGCTCTCCTCCATTATCATGGCTTTTCATTCCCTAGTATTTTCGGGGAAAGCATATGGCTCCATGAAATAAAAAGACTTTTATAACTGCAACACCAATTCATATTTAACTAAACAATATTAAAAAGAACAACAGGGCTACTACCACAGGGCTAAGGGCTAGAGGGTAGAAGACATATAAACTACCTGTACTCTAAATGAACTTTCAGATTGAGTTAAATTTATAGATACATACTCTAAAAATACTACATAGTGTGAATTTATTAAAACTTACTTATGTTTTGACAGTTGTCAATTCAGCATAAGAGAAATAAATCTGAAACATTTATTTTCAGTGAAAGCAAAGGACGTCTCATTTTGAAACAGTATCGGTACTTTCTACAGTTTTCCCCAAAGCACTACTATTTACCACAAAATTAGATCCCAAAGGCTGAGGCGGGGCTTCAATACGGTATTAACTCCAACCCTTATCGGGCTTCCCTGCCCCACCCCCTACATCCAGCTGCCCAAAAGACAAGAACAAAGACCATCTACCTCCTACTGTTTCTTTTTTGCATTTTGGTTCTTAAAAAATAAGTCAATGGGTTAATATACACTTGTTTTGGGTGCTGACATTTGCAGCTAAATAAGACAATGCATCAGAATTACATCAGCTTTATTTAAATGATAATTTTAGAAAGTTCTGAGAGGAAAAATCAGCCACAGGAATTTGGACTCAACTTTTTTAGTCTGAGGACTAAAAGGGAGTGGGGGATGGGAGGACTGGAGAGAAGAGAAAGTAAATTGACTCTTGCATCAAAGAACTGCTATCATCAATCTCTCTACTTCTCTCCAACGAGTTAAATAATAAATTTCCTTCTAAAAAGGTACAGAGAATTTATTCTGAGAAAGTTAACAGGAATAATCACTGATAATGTTTTCAAGCACATCTGAAAAAAGTCTTCTCAAAGCAAATTCCACAAGATTAATCTTTGCTGAAAATATCTAAGGCCTCTCTTGAAACTTTCCTTCAGAGCATGAAGCACACTCTTTTGCAAATCCTTAACAGATGCAAACCTACTGGCTTCCCTTAAATATGGTATGTGGGAAAAGAGAAGCATGAAAACAGTATGTATTATTAAATATTTACTTGGTGTAAAGTACACATTAGCCATCCTCAGTTCTTAAAACCACCTGTTTCCCTTACAGAGATTATAAATTAGACTGTTGTTTTGTTTCAACCTTGAGAATTTTATGTTGGAAAACTCAGGTATAAGGTTGCTCTTGAAGAAAGATTAGAAAGCTGAGGGTTGGAGAGAATGATGATAAAGAGCAGACAAGGGTCCTCCCCAACTCAAACAAGCTGGTTGAGTGAAGATGGGGAGAGAAGTGTGCTTAGGAGGGTAGGTTCATATGGCTAACCCAAAGCATTTAAAAAGTCTCAATCACCTAATACATGTTGTATTTCTAAAAATAGTTAATAACGTCCTTGTAGTATTTAATTAGAAGGGAAAAAGAAAAACCCACTGAAAATAAGTCCTTCTTGGAATATACATTCTCTGCAATAAGATGGGGATGATAAATGGGTAGGAAGATTCCAGAGTGTCATGAAAGCAAAGTATGGATGCCTACAGTACCTCTGGTTTTGCAGATCGTCTATTGAGTATCCTGTTCATTATCTTATGCAATCTAAAATATGTTGAAGAGCCTTCATAGCTACATAATCCTTCCCAATTCCGCTCCCTCTGTATTCCTTAAGATAATATATTCATCAGTTTATACACGCTGATTTTCTTTCATATTATCTTGCAATGCTTGCTACTAATTAGGTGCAATTCAGTTTCTGTTTATATGCTGGGATGTAGTAGTGCTTTCGGTAGCAAACCTTCTTGTAAACAGGATAAAAAGAACAGAGAATTGTATCTTAACATTCTAGTTACTAGAACCTAGTAGGAACAAGTGCTACAATAACAGTGCTTTCTATAGCTAATGCAATTTATTAATATTTTGCTATTAAAAACTATGGCAAGATGAAGAAGACTAACAAACTAGGGCAAACTTTAGTTGCTTCAGTGAGTTTGTGGAGCTGACTCATCATAGGAGAGGACCTGGCATAGAAAGAACAGACTATAAAGAACTTCAAGGAAATGAACTCAGGTTCATTTGAAATTCATTTGTTCAAATGAAAACAATATCCTGGTTTACCTACATATCTCTTAAGCAACTGGAAAATAATGTCAACAAGTCACATAAACGTGATGTCCATTCTTCAGAAACTACTACAATTTAACATTTGCTAACTTTGCCTCTTCTAACATCTTTGCTTTTCTAGGGAGCCGGAATGTGAATTGCTGGTTTTGAGAATAAGGGAGTGGACAGCAAGAAGGAAGGTGATGTAGATGGACAGAAAGTGTTTTATATAGTATTGGGGCTGGAATGGGAAATCAGAGATCAAAGAAGCTCAAAAGTTGGTTTTAAAAAAGGAAACTGAGAGCTAGAGGATAATTAAGCTCTAAAGGTTAAGTCCTAGAAGTGGGTGGGGCCAATGCAAATTTAGCAAGAAGTAAAAGTAAATCATTAAGCGGTCTGAAGCAACCTTTGTTCCTGGGCTAAGAATGCCAGCAAAGCGCAAACTTTCCTCCTAGAGAGATTTCTAAAAATCATCCTTAGTAGTCAGCCAGTATAACAGAACACTGGACCTGATTTACTGAGACAAAGGGTCCAGCCCAACATCCTCTGTGCTTATTCGGCAACCTCCAGCTGGATTCTACCTCCCCGGGTTCTTTATTCTACACAATTTTTTAGTAGAAAAATGTGTTTTTAACACTGTTAAGCACGATTAAAAACAAACCGTGCGATTTTAAGGAGTAAAAAAGAGAGGGGAGCCTTTTTTTCCCCCCTCAAAAAAAAAAGCAATCGGACTGCAGAAGCCAAATCTACAGACATTCAAAAACTACTACAAACCTGGTGACTATCAAATTCTAGCCGATTCAACCCCTTTCTTCAAGTACTTTTCCCCCTCAATCTCAAATGTGGTGCTAGCCTGGACCAGTACACACCCCCACAGCTACTTCATTCCATTGGCTGGCAGGCTGTCTTGCAGTCTACACCCTTTAGATCTACCCTCGGAACGCTCGGTGTTTGTCTGATGTTACACTGTTCATGTATTACCATTTTGTGTGTGTGTGCAAAGCGGCCACAGTAGGAAGATAATTTAAAAGATCGACTATAATTAATAAATTCATTTAGTTAGTAAAACTGTAGATTTCGATTCATTTTGTATGTTCCTGTATCATCTGTCACTACTGTGAAAGACTGAAAAAATCCGAGAACAATTATTTCATGCTTTGCATTCGCTTGAGTCACAGAAGATCACAAAATCTTGAAGAGGCAGACAGATGGGTCTGTCATTTTCTTTTCTACAAGTGCTCTTCGTCAAGACCCACCCTGTTTGTCACAGTGGCTAGGATCAAAAGAGCAGTGCAGTGTCTTCGGCACACAGCATCAACAAGCTCGCGGGGGGAGGACCAACTACGGGGTGGTGATGGAGCAGAAAATTCACTATCCATCGGAGCCTGACACAGCTGAGGCCGGGACTTGGGGGAGCGGGGACAGCGTGGGAGGGCGACGGTACCCGCCCAGGCTGGGCTGAGCAGTGAGCCCCCGAGGCTGGAGGCCAGGCGGGGCGGGGCAGGGCAGGGCACAAGGGGCTCACCTCCCTTGCAGGGCGTGCGGTGCTGGCTGTGCTGGGCCCGGTAGCCCTCGATGACTTCCCAGGAGCCGTCGTCGCGCCGGATGGGGAAGGACAAGCTCAGCACATGGTTGCAGGGCTTGATGATCCGCAGGATGCCACGCACCCGGTTCCGCTTCTGCTCCTCGGTCTCCCGGGTCTTGAGGTCCTCCACCAGCTTGTCCTCCACGATGCTGGCACCGCGGTCAAAGAAGCCCTCCACCATCTTGAAGAAGTTGGGGTCGTCCTCGCGGTCTGCCGCCGCCTCGCTGTAGTGTCGCCGAGCGGGTGGCACAAGCCCTGGCTGCGGGGCGGCGACGGCTGCGGCAGCCTGCCCGCGGGCCCGGCCCAGCAGCACGGCCGAGTCGGTAGCCACGGAACCCAGGGCTGCGGGCCCGACGCGGGACAGCAGCAGCGCTTCACCCAGGCACCGGTACATGGCGGCGGGACGGAGGCCACGGAGGATAGACGCTCTCACAGGCCTGGAGACGGACGGAGGGAGGAAGGGCCCGCCGCGGGCTGCCCTTTTAAGCCACAGCTTCCTGCCTTCCTGGCTATCCCCTCCCCTCCGGCGCTCGCCGCCTAACGGGGAGGACGGACTTCGGGTGCCACGGGCCAATGTCGCCTGTGAATGGCAGGGCGGGGGGCGCGCACCGCCCAGGGAGCCGGGCCTCCGCCTCCGCCGCGGCCTTGCCCGGCCTCCCCGGCGGCGGCGAGAGCCGGCGGGGACGCTCGGGGGCGCGCAGTCGCGGTCGGGCCGGATGCGCATGCTCGCAGGTCGGGGGGCGGGGCGAGGGCGCCTGCACGGGGCTGGGATCTGCGGGGAAGAGCTGGAGTCTAAGGTCTGTGCGCAGCCCGGGTCTCTCCCGGAGAGGGGTTTTGACTGGGGAGGGGGCCTCGGTGGGAAGAGGCCTAGCCGCCTCTTGGGGGCGCTAAGAGTCTGGTCCCAAGACCATGGGCGGTCTGGCGGTGGGCCCAGGGTGGGTGAGTCATGGGTGTCCCTCCTTTCCGCCCGCGCGCTCTAGGGCGGGGCGGCCATCCTGCCACCGCTGCGCCTGTCTTCGGATGGCCGGGAGAAGCACCGTTAGGAGGTCGGGCTAAGAGCTTGTCTTTATCCGCTGGGACTGAGACGAACTTTGGTCTTTGGAGTTGGAGTTTTGAAGTGTCTTGCAAGAAATGGAAAGGAGAAGGCTTGGGAGCTGGGGACTCCCTTGTCCATTGGCTTTTACTGCCTTAAGTTTTTAATTTTGTCCCATTCAACCACTGCGTGATGTTGAGATAGTTATGTGAATCATTGTTGTTGTATCTTTCTGAAATTTACTGTTTCCGCATTGCAGAGATATGTTCTCGAAATAGTTAAAAAACAACACTATAGAACTGCAATAATACTCCAGGATATTCTCTTCTCAGTAATAAATGTACTAATAGTCCAGAATAGAATTTATAAAGGTTAAAAGACATGAGGGTTTAATTATATACTTACACATACTTGATGAGAAATGCTAGTTATACACTTCTATGGGTACAGTTAGATGCTTGTAAAAGTCTGATGACTCAGTTTTTAAGACAAGCTATCAAAGGCCACATTACCAACTTAAGTGGTTCCAGTGTACGCTGGTGGTTTTAAAATGGTACTTTTTTGACCTGCAGAACGACTTTGCCTCCTGACATTCACTTTATTCATCTGTTAATTAGCATATGGAAGAGAATGTTTTAATTCTTAGTTTTCTGTGAAGTATAAGGTGACAACCTAGATCAATTGAATTTCTTTCATCTATTCAGTATACTGTCAAAACAAAAAAAAAGGTGGAGCTTATGTTTTATCTTATTTGCTAGATAATAGTGATTTATATTTGTATTGTGTTTTCAGTGGTAACTGTTCTCTGGGCTGAATCCTGAATTTGTCTTGTTGGTCAAAGGATTAAGGTATCAAGTTTCCTTTTCACTTGAGAGTGTTATTATATATTGCAAAAACTACAACAACCACAAACCTTAAAAAGTATCAGAATAAAATGATTAGAATCAGTAAACATGGAAATTCAGATTAAATTCTTGGGTATGGTTTGAAGAAAGTGTTTTAAAAGCTTAGTTTTATTGCACTTCTTTATCTCCTTCTTGATAATGACAGCCTTCAGAAAAATTAATGTTTAACTTTTCTTCTTCCCAAGTTTTGTTCACCTGAATTCAAGAAGTTACTAATAGAGAAGCAATGGAAGGAGTGAGTAAATTTTAATTGAGAGTCTGCTGTGTGTCGATGTCTTATGAAATATCTCCAAAAAAACCTCCTAGATTTTAAAATTTTTAGAATCTTTGTTATGTTTTTAAATTGTGTACAAGTTGTTTAAAAAAGTCAAATAGTAAAGATAGATTTTTAAAAAGAGAGTGAAATCAAACACTACGGCTCTCCTCACTTTCCCATTTAGTAAGTAGTTAGAATGCTTCTTTTCATACTGAAGTAGGTATTATAATTCCTGATTTTAACAGGAGGGTGAACTGAGGCTTGCAGAGACCAAGTAAATAGTTGATCATCTAGATGATAAATAGCAGACTAAAATTCAAACTGTATATCTGACTTCAAGTTATGCCATTTCTAGTATTCCAAGAAATATTTTAATTATGTGTTGTATTTAGTTTAAAATTATTTACTGCGATGTAAATCTGGTAAGTTTCAGCTTTACACTGATGATTGCCTTTATAAAATATACAGATATTTTGCAAATTAAGTTTTAATTATTGATAATAATTTTCAGTTCAAAGGATGGCTCGAATTTAACTTGAAAGGAATTTTGGTCATTTGATAACATTCAATAAAGACAATTCATTTTCTGCTTTTAAGGTTTATGCATTTTCCTTAGCGGTTTCAAAATTCCAGGTCTTTTCTCTTTGATTTGTAGCATGCTTTTGTGCTTTCAAGTGCTTTAAAAAATATTTTAGAAGAATTATTTTAGGATTTAGAAAGACATAGCATATAAATATAGGAACAACATGGTGGTTTTAAAAAATAATTTAATTAGAAAAGGCAATATATACTTTCTGTCTTAGATTTGTCTATTCTGGACTTTTTTTAAAAATGGAATCATGCAGTCATTATGTGGTCCTTTGTGACTGGCTTCTTTTACTTCGTGTATGTTTTAAAGATTCATACTTATTGTAGCATGTGTCAATATTTCATTTTTTTAATGGTTGAATAGTATTTGTTGTATGGCTATAGTCCTCTTTCATATATATTCAGTCGCTCAGTTGTGTTCAACTTTTTGTGACCCCATGCACTGCAGCACGCTAGGCCTCCCTGTCCATCACCAACTCGCGGAGCTTACTCAAACTCATGTCCATTGAGTCAGTGATGCCATCCAACCGTCTCATCCTCTGTTGTCCCCTTCTCCTCCCACCTTCAATCTTTCCCAGCATCAGGGTCTTTTCAAATGAGTCAATTCTTCCCATCAGGTGGCCAAAGTATTGGAGTTTCAGCTTCAGCAGCAGTCCTTCCAGTGAATATTCAGGACTGATTTCCTTTAGGATGGACTGGTTTGATCTCCTTCCAGTCCAAGGGACTCTCAAGAGTCTTCTCCAGCACCATAGTTCAAAAGCATCAATTCTTCAGTGCTCAGCTTTCTTTATAGTCCAACTCACACATCCATACATGACTACTGGAAAAACCATAGCTTTGACTTGACAGACCTTTGTTGGCAAAGTAATGTGCCTGCTTTTTAATATGCTGTCTAGGTTGGTCATAACTTTTCTTTCAAGGAGTAAGCATCTTTTAATTTCGTGGCTGCAGTCACCATCTACAGCGATTTTGGAGCCCCCCAAAATAAAGTGTGCCACTGTTTCCACTTTCATATATATGTGTGTCTATATGTATCTTCTTAAAAATTTTATTTGGCTGTGCCAGGTCTCGGTTATGGCACACGGGATCTTTGATTTTTGTTGCACAGTGTGGAATCCTTTAGTTTTGGCATACAGGATCTTTAGTTGCAGCATGTAGGATCTAGTTCCCTGACCAAGGATCGAACCCTGGTCCCCTGCGTTGGTAGTACAGAGTCTTAGCCATTGGACCATCAGAAAAGTTTTATGGCCCTCTTTTTTTATCTATTAATCTTTGACAGACGTTTGGTTATTTACACTTTTTGGCTATCCTAACACTACTATAAATGTTCTTGTAGATGCTTTTGTTTGGACAGATACTTTCAGTTCTGTTGGGTACACACCTGTTAGAGTGGAATTGTTGAATTATATGGTAACTCTCTGTGTAACCTTTTGGGAAGCTGCCCAACTGTTCTTCACAGCAGCTGGACCATTTTAATTCCTACCAGTGGAGGATTCCAACTTCTTTATATTCTCCCAAACACCTGTTATTATCTGGTATGAAGGGATAACTCATTTTGTTTTTGATTTGCATTTCCTTGATGGCTAATGATATTGAGCATCTTTTTATGTACTTATTGACAGTTTATATATATATGTATGTATTTTATATATTAATTAATTTTAATTGGAGGATAATTACTTTACAATATTGTGATGGTTTTGCCATACATCAATATGAATTGGCCATCGGTATACATGTGTTCTCCCCCCATCCTGAACTCCACCTCCCTCCCTACCCTATCCTTCTGGGTTGTCCCAGAGCACTGGCTTTGGGTGCCCTGCTTCATGCATAGAACTTGCACTGGTCATCTATTTTACATATGGTAATGTACATGTTTCAGTGCTAGTCTCTCAAATCGTCCCACCCTCGCCTTCTCCCACTGAGTCCAAAAGTCTGTTCTTTACATCTGTGTCTCCTTTGCTGCCCTGCAAGTAGGATGGTTGGTACTGTCTTTCTAAATTCCATAAATATACATTAATATTCAGTATTTGTCTTTCTGACTTACTTCACTGTGTATAATAGGCTGCAGGTTCCTCTACTTCATTAGAAGTGACTCAAATGCGTTTCTTTTTACAGCTGAGTAATATTCCGTTGCTTCCTTATCCATTCATCTATCAATGGACATCTAGGTTGCTTTCATGTCCTAGCTATTATAAATAGTGATGAACATTGCGGTACATATGTCTATTTCAGTTCTGGTTTCCTTGGGGTGTATGCCCTGAAGTGGGATTGCTGGGTCATGTGGCAGTTCTGACAATTTGTATGTATTTTTATTTTATTTTATTTTTTTTTATTTTTCCATTTATTTTTATTAGTTGGAGGCTAATTACTTTACATCATTGCAGTGGGTTTTGTCATACATTGAAATGAATTAGCCATGGATTTGTATGTATTTTGAAAGAGAGATGTATAGTCCCATCCTTTTTCCACTTTTCAATTGGATTGTCTTTTTATTGTTGACTTGTAGGAGTTTTGGGTTTTTTAAAATTTATTTTTGGCTCTGCTGGGTCTTGGTTGTTGCACAAGCTTTTCTCTGGTGGTGGCAAGTGGGGGGCCGCTCTCTGGCTGTG